CCTTTATAGAATTAAAATATGTATAGTCAAAATTTTATTATGCTAACATTTAATTGATGAAAATGTTATCATTTAAATAAATAATGGTAAATAAAAACAACACTGACTTTGGTTGTAAAATGGTTTGACTGACAAACACCTCGAGATACAAAACCTCAAATTAGATAACGATTGAACTCAAAACTCACAATTAAAATACATCCAATTAAAGTGAAATTTAATACCTTTTCCTATTGATAAATATTAATGATTTATAGCTTATAATTATGTATTCATATATTCATACAGCATTTGTATTATATGCCAATTGTCCCCTATTTATGACCCATTCATCATATCAATGGCCATCTCTACCTAAATATGCTGTCTATCGCTGTTTTCAATTGTTTTTATCTATCAAATCAATTATATCTCTATCCATACAATGCATACCAAACAACAAAATAATTATTCCGTTCGTTTCAATGCAGTCTAATTGCAAGAGATCTCATCACAAACTCATCATCATTTTGACGGACTTTAAAGTTACACAATATATAAAACACAGTATTTTGTTGCCATTAATGTCGAGACAGCACTTGGTTTGCAATTTTGAGGTCAGACTAATTGATTGAGCGCTTGAACTCCAATATTAATATATAAATCATAAATTAGCTACAAGTGATTAGTTTGCTATTAATTTAGGCCCAAAATGATTACTTATATATAAATTCCGTACAAAAACTAACAAAAAAATTATGTAAGTTTTGCGCTTAAGTGTAGTCGTCTGGAGAAATATTATTATTATTTTTGATTCAAAACTTTTATTATTTATTTTTCCAAAGAATGAACGCTTAATTAAAAATAAATCATAAAAATTATATTGCTAGTTTATTATTAACGAACTCAAAAAAAAATCATAATTATATTTTTGTAGTTAAAATGTTTTATTATTAATTTTTTCCGCATAATTGCACAAAATTTTGATAATCAAAGTCATGACCAAGTATTTCATATTACGTTAAATAAAGTTTTATAACAAAAAGTGCATAGAATTTAAGTTTATATTTTTATAAGCTACATATTTAATTATTATAAAAATAAGTCAACACCCTGTGCCATTTGCTGATTACACTGTTTATTCTTAACACCCGATGCCATCAAATACAAAGGACAGACAGTTAGCCCCTGCCATTCAAAACAGTCGTACCTCTCGGACCACAAACATATAATTTTTCAATCAAAAAACTCATTGAGCGTAACAAATGGTTGGGCACAAGTTTTTGAATATTTTTAAAAATACTATACTTTTTATATTTTGTGTATTTAAAGCTTAAGTGTATTCAGTCATTCAGTCAATGCAAATACAAAAACTCATTGTTATTTTTATTATATAAGTATATTCTCTCTCATTTCTCTCTCTCTCTCTCTCTCTCTCTCTCTCTCTCTCTCCCTATTATATAATCTCATTGTAGTATTTACTGAGAGAAAAGTTAATTGTAGTTCCCTGTTAACTCTGGCACAAACACTAAAATGCAAATTCTGTCCAAAAGTTTTTTCTGTTGACGTTTGAATATTTTCTGCTGTGTTTGTGACTAAAAACCATCCCTCCCTCCCAGTCCCCTGCACATTTATGACTACAGTTAAGCCCAGTTATTGCTTACATACAATAATTGTTATTCTCGCTAATTTTCTACTGAATATTCTGTGTCCAGACAAATGCATTGAACACATAATTTCTCATTACTAATCAAATGAGAAAATTTGCGATTTTTGTGATAAAAACATAATTATCTCAAGTATTTTGTTCATTACATAAAGTGATTCACTGTTCGCATCCCAATACTAACCATTTAATGTCTAAAAGTTATATTGCAATCACTTTCCCCTCTCATTCTTCCTATTGGGAAGGATGTTATTCACTCCCCATACTATTTTATGCCCCCATTTCATGGCATGTATGGCCCGCTGTCAGTCCCCACTAATCCAAACACGCCGTCCCCTCTGTTTCTACTCTATTTTGGTTATGCCGTATCACAAACATCATCGTCTCTATGGTCTGTATGAGAGAACCCTGAATATATCCAACAGCTGTACATTTGACTGACAAAACTATAACATGGGAGAGAGAGAGAGAGAGAGAGAGAGAGAGCACAGGGAGCTGAGGGCTGGCAGTATAGCGCGTTTGGCGCTCCGAAACACTCTCCAACATTGGAGTCGTGTTTGGAAATCAAGTTTTCCATACATTTATATAAGTATTTATATGTTAGCAGTAAATCATGCAATGGTTTGGTCTCTATTTGCGAGAGGGATAGGGCTATGAGTGCTGTGAGAGAGACAAGAATACCATTAGGTTTTCAATATATAAATGCGAGGATAAGTGTGTTGTTGTGCACAGAGAGCACAGCATTATATTCCTATCGGTGCTAACTCTCCAACAAATATCTCTCTGAATGTGTGTTTTGGTGCTGTTATCTCATAACCAAATGTAAGCCCAACACTAATATCACTGTAAAGTAAAGGGTCGGTCACTGAGTGCACAGCCATCTCCTCCACTCACATCTCATCCCCAACTGAAAGAGTATTGAAATTCTGGCGACTATTATATGTGAGACTACTTTCCATTCCAAGAAACCTCTCATTCCTTTCCACTCCATTCATCTGCCAGTGCTCTTCACAACTCATACACCATTCAGTGTTGTCAGTGGTGGTGGTGTCGGTGCTCTCTCTCTCTCTCTCTCTCGCTCTCTCTCTCTCTCTCTCTCCCGCAATCAACATAACACCAGTCAGTGAGCGCTCATACATGTGAGGCAGAGATAGTGAGGAAAAATATCATTGAGCTCTGAATGCGAGGGACAGTCGGTTTGGAGGAGAAGGGAGAGACAGACAGACAACTAATTTGTGTGCCATTCCCTGTGATGACTATTTTTTGCGCCACTTATATATCCCTCTCAGTTGTTGTATGAACACAGGGCCCAACACTTGGACGATATTCCGGTGCGAATCGCACCTAACGTTTTATGGTTTGGTGTTTATTATGATTGTTTCGATGTGTTTGCAGTAGAAATATATTTTGACTTATATTTTGTGATTTTTTTGTGTTTCTTAGAGATTCTGTTGTATTATTAAAGGGTAAGAATTTTTGCTTATTTTGTAGTTTTTGTTTTAAAAACTTTTGTTAAAATAACGAATATATTTGAGTAAAACAAAGATATTACTAGTTTTTTAATGTAATGATTATTACAAACGATTTATTTCTATACTTTCCGATCGGAACTCAGTTTTGATTTTTATTTGATTTCATGTTTTTCTCTCTTTTTTATTATTGATTTATATATAAATCTCTTCATTGAAACAAAAGACATATTTTTGTGAAGGTTTTATGTAATACTTTGTTGTTGTGTTTTGTCTAAATGTGAAATAAAACTTTTATAAAATATTTTTTATATTATATCGAGTAGTGCTTTGATTTTAAAAACTTTTCATAATATCATATCTTAAGATGTTTTGATTTCTTTATATATAAACTATTTTTAGCTAAAAGTTTATATACTGTTCGCATATATTTTGAGGACAAACCCAAAGGATATTATATATCACTTATGTCTGAGACTTGAGTTTTGAAAAAGTTTCGGCAAAAAGCCGTTTATTAATGTGTATATATTTTTGTGCATATTTTGCAAATGTCTCTGGAATTTGCAGACAAAATGCTAAACCATTTAGTCAAATAAGTTTAGAGCATATTATTGTATGATTTATGAAATTATTGTTAATTTGTTTGTTAACGATATTTAAGATGAGAGATTTTAAAATTTGTTTTCAACCAAAAACTCTGATCCCTTTGTCTGAAGCATATAAACTCATATTTTAAAGTTTAGTTTTTTTTGAAGATGCATTCAATAATGAATAATTCATATCCAACCAGCAAAGTCTTATATTATATATTAAATTTTACTTTTTTTCATATTTTATATACGAGAAGTTGACTCACATTTGAATAGTTTGCGAGAGAAATAAAAAGTAATAAATATATAAATTTGTTTTTAAGCAAAATATTTTCTAAAAGAGAAAAAAATATATGAAATTTCTTATATAATTTTTAGGAAACAACAAAAATTCTCATTCACTTACATATAAACCAATAAACTAAGTCTGAGTTAGTCTACATAACTCACGCGCATTAAGATATACTGGGTAATACATAATTCATGCATCAATTTTGCATAAATTTCATATAAAAACATAAATACAAATAACAATAATAAGTAAATTTAATAATGAAATCATGTTTTGTTGCTTAAATGCTTAAATAGAAATTATAATCTAAGCTATTGTTTCAGATAATATAGTAAATACAAACACAACAAAAAGTTTTATAAAAGCCATTTGTATGTCAACTAAGATTTTCATATGAGATATAAAATTAGTTTTTAAGAATATCTCTCCTCTTTCAGTGTAATTAGTATTGAAAATTAGGGTATATTTTGATGTATTTTTTAGCAACTTTTCCAGTATATGATGTGTTGGGGCACTGACTTCGGGCACAACACATGTTTTCCAAAGGGTTGGTTCACTATTGGACAGACTGTTTATTTATAGCGTTAAGAAATGTGTTAATAATTAACATTTATTTAAAAGAGAAAATGTATTGAGAAATGAGGGATACTTTTAAGGTTACAGACAATAAGAAAATACTGTATATTGATTTATATTACAATTTAACAAAATAAAGTAGAGTTTACTATAGTATATATTTTTTGTTGAGTTAACTTTTGTATAATATTTTTCTTTTATATATAATAAAAACTTTTTTATATAACATGTTATATACAGTACTTCGCGAAGGAATTCAATGATTGATTGACCGAATCATTGAATTTCACATAAAATTATAATATCTTTGATTTTATATTACAATTCCTATGATATTATACCGTATAATAAAAATAAGAAAAATGTTTTCGAAAACAAATTAATAAATAATTTATTAATCACATTAGCATATTTTAAGAGAAAAAGTTATGGAAAAAGTTTATAAATTTTAAATCTCTTATGTGATGTGAGCGAAATATTTGTTTGCAAACAAAAAACAAGATTTTTTTCATATAAAATAGTATTACAAAAATAAAGATATATATATATATATATATATAAAGAGCTCTATTCTCTGTCAGACCCCCCGATAGTATCAACTCAATTGTGTAACAAAAACTGCAAATATACGAGAAAAAGGGGAAATACTATTGTCTGGGAAAGGGAGGGTCATTGGGAGAGATCTCACGAATTTTGCCTTTAGATTGCAAAACAATAACAAAAATAACTTTTTATTTTGCTCTTAAAGACTCTCAAAGAGACTGCTATTTGTTATTCAATCAATCATTTGCTTATAATACACATTACAATCACTGTTTGAAGCGATTGAACAACATTTTGATCGGTACTCTCTCGCTGTAACACCGGTACTATAGCCCAGCGTTTTGTCTGTCAGTGATATGTCTTAAGATAACATCTCTCTCTCTCTCTCTCTCTCTCTCTCTCTCTCTCTCTGAGATGAGATAATAAACTTCAGTACTGTTTACTATTACTTACGAGACTATGAGACCCAACCCCAGTCACTATAATAATAATAATATACATAATTATATGAATTAGAATATTCTTTTTGACATAAATTCTGGATTTGATATTTTAATACACAATTCCTTATGACAGGACATGTGTTGTTATGTGATCGTAACCGCCCGGACCCTAATCTGGACGCTGTTGTCAATCGCGGCCACACTGTGTATGTTGGCGGCGATCTGGACCCCCATATGGCTGGTGGGACCGCCCAAAAAGCTCAGTCGACAGACGGCCGCCAAACTGTCACAACAGTCCACTCAAACCAATAATAATATTCTTGATTTGAATCTCAATTATATTCATAATAATAACATCAATGAGTTTACGCCATCATTAGGTCAGTACAACATAAGTACCGTATATTTGCATAACATTTGGATTATAATTGAATATTTAATGCAATGCAGTATTTATTAAGTTAGCCCAGGGATAGAAGGGTGTATGGTTGTAGTACAATAGGATTTAGTGTATAAAATAGCCCTTTTACTAATTCAGCCCTTTATACGAAAGTACTCACAGAATAGTGGAGTCCTTTGAAGCATTAGATATCGCTATAAAAAGGAGAGAAACACCCCCTAAGTGGTGGACATTATTTGTATTGTCAGACATATCGTACACAGCATTGAATGACCCAAAAATGTTTGCAGAATTTGATTTATTAACTCAATTATTCTGTTATAACAGCAAATTATATTATACTGGCATTTGTATTGCTATTCCCCAATGCATTCATTATTACAGTGAATGTACACAATAACTCCTAATATAAATGCATTATGATTAGTGTATCCATTGATTGTATTACATATCTGTATGTTGTATGTGGGTGCTTTTAGGTATATTCAACCGGTGCACCAGAATATATCAATTAAATCGGTTGCAAACAGAGTGCGCGCCGTTTGTGACCGGTTTAGACCAGGAAAACAACTCCTTTCCCAACGCATGGAAAGCCGCGCTTATATTCTATGGGATCGGCATTTGTGTCATGAGTCTCACGATTATTGCCAGCCTTTTAGGTATTTATCAATTGTCTCTATCGAGCCTTTCAATTGTCTTTCGGTTTAGCTTTTTTTCATTTAAATTGATGACCAGAAAGCAGACTCTCATATAACAGGCATTCATATGACTTCACGTTATAATCGATTGTTTTTTCTATTATTATATTCTCTCCATTCGTTTGCCTGAAGGCTGTTGCAAGAGAAGTGTTTGTCGCAAAAGCATATTCACAATATCCGGCACAATTCAAGCCGTGGCCGGTAATTATTATTTGCATTCAATACACCTTATTCAATATGAAATAATACAAATTTATACATACAATAAACTGTCAGCATATCATACAATGTATAATGTAAGATTTTAGATCGAGATAAACTTTTAATTATTATTATTCAAGAATAAAAGTTTTATATATAGTTTATTCATTTAAATAAAATTATAAAAGGTTTAGACAAAGAGTATCTCATTCAGTATATAATAAAACTATATAAAATTATACTATAAAACTAATATAAAGCAAATGATTTAATTTTAAAAATATTTATTTACCGGTATTAGATACACACATACAGTACATTGACAGTATATATAAATATAAAACTGTTAAATAAATAACAATTTGATTTGTATCTCATTTTAGGTTTATTTTATATTCTGGGAACTTTTTCATATCCATTTGGTAAGATTTTATACTTTTAACTTTTTTGATTAGTCATATAAGTTATTTACTTTAATTTAATGTACTTTTAAATGTAATTCACATGTGATTTATACAACATTAGTCAATAATTTATCTTTTTATAAAATGTTTTCATTAAAATATCGTCTTTCTCTCTAATTCTCTCTACATTTCCCATCGATTTATGGCAATCCTATAAAAATAAAATATTTTCTTAAAACCTACAGTCAAAGCCATGTTAACTACACAATTTGAGAACAAAATATTTAATTTTAGTTACCCTAATGTATAAACATATTTGCCAACAATTAATTAATCAAAAAAGTTTATTTATACAATAGTAGTAAAATATAAATTAATTATGATTTATACATTGTTTATAATTAGCAATGAGTGCATAATAGCTAAAACTGTAAATAGTCTGAGGGTTTTATTTAAGACTTTTTTGTCGTGTATTTAATTTGATTTGTGTGTAATTCTTGTTACTTTGAAATTTTTTCAAAAGAAATAAATTTATGTAACTTTCATTCAATTCCTACATAAGTATTCTAGTGACTCTCTCTCTCTCTCTCTCTCTCTCTCTCTCTCTCTCTACACTGTTAGATACATTTGAGTGGGAATATTATTTTGTTAGATTTATGAATTACTTATTGATTTAAGGATATACATAAACTATTTATTATACTTTTTTAATTTCTTTTACTTTCAACAAACAGAACGTTATATAAATAATAAAATAAAAATCTATTTCCTTTCCAAAAAGCTTTTCAAGTGAATTTTATTATAAATTTTATAAACCAAACCAAACAGTATCAATGGTTCAGCAGATAAACAAACAAAATGTTTTGCTTTACATAAGAGGTAATAAATAATAGTACAGTATTTTTATCTTATATTTCTGGCAATTATTTAAGTGTATTATTTTTCAATCTAATTAATTATAATCATTTGTATTCATAGGGTGTGTTATTAGAGAAATATTTTGTTTATTTTTTATTCATTTGCTAAATGTAATATTCTTACAGCATATTCTGTATTTAAATTGATTGCATTAATCCTTTATAATAATAATAATAAAATTTTCATTTTTAATTACTCTATAAAAAGTTCTGAAATAGATTTATAATAACATTTAACTTCATTAATAAGCGATTTTAAAAATCTTTTTAATTAAACATACAATATAATATATATTATAGTAACTTATAGTCTAAATATAATGTATACATAATTTATAAACAGTGTGTTTGTGTTCACAATTTAATGAGATTTTTGTGACATTTGAAAGGCTGGGGCACCGATCGAGTGGAACGCATATGCGGTGTAAAGGCTGACCCTTTCCTTCTGGGAGACTGTACTATAGGTAATGGATATAAGAGACCGAAAATAATGTTAAAAATGAAAAATTAATTAACAAAAACATAATCACATCGTATTTGATTTGACTGACAGGTTGGGGATTATATCTAGCGGTGGGCAGTACTGTCGCCACATTCATATGTGCCATACTGTCCATTCAGGCGGAGATATCGACGTCATCTGATAAAGTCCAGGATGAGATACTTGACGGCAAAAATCTAATTTGTTTGCTCTAATTATTAGCGTAACATATAATATATGAAAAAATATTTTTTAATTTTATTAATTTAACAGTAATTGTGTTCACACACAATGAAAATCGATAACTCTTTTGTGTATTTATTTTCAATAGACTTTTGAAATTTTTGCATATATTTGTGTATATTACTTAAATATAGTTATAACTACTAGCCATTAGTCTCCAATTTATTAGAAAAATTAATTATATTTATTATTATATGAATAGTGATTAGAATTTTTTGTGTAAACAATACAATGGAGAGTAAAGATTTTTTGTATTGAATTTTATTTTATATAATATTTTGTAATTTATTTGAATTTTTTATGGTCTATTGATCCGTTTTTGAGAATAATTATTATATTAAATTCAGACTCTCTCTCTCTCTCCCTCCCTCTCTCTCTCTCTCTCTCAAATGAATTTTTATATGAAATCCATTTTTAAATAAATTTTATTTTTTATTTAAAATATACAGTAAACGCTTTTGAAATATAAATTTCTAGAATTCACTTGAACACATTTTCGTTAACTTATGTGAATGAAAATAACAAATAAAAATATAATAAATAATTTATTTCTAAAATAAAATGTGAATTAATTATTTAAATTATTGTATGTACATATAATTTATAATATAAATTCATTTTTTAACAGCAAAACAAACTTCAGAATAATATATATAACAATGAATTGTGTTTTGAAAATATTATTTGATATACACTTAACACATATAATAGAGACTTGAAAATATTTAGTGTTATTTTAAATAATAGTCAAAAAACAGAGGAATTCTATAATAAACATAACAATAACAATAAGGTATGTATTATTAAGTGATAGGACAGGCACTTCAAAACAGACATTACTTTTTCTCATACACTCGTGGATCTCTCCCATTATCTCCAGTAGTCGTATGGGTTTCCCGGAGTGAACACAACAGGACTGGTATTTTTTATGTCTAACCACTACATAAATATCAATAAATTTCTGAGCATCCCTTTCCCTCTACTTTTCACTTCAATTTCAATTACAAATGACACACAAAATAAACTCCAGAAAAAGGTATAACTTATGTCTAAACCGTACTGTATATGTATTCATATGGCATAATATATGATACAAATAATGGATTCTTTGGTCACTTATACCACAGGCATTGGTATTGATGATAAAAAATATGTTTCAGTCAAACAGTTTATTTGTAAACTCGAAATGAATAAACGTTTTTCAAAAGTCAATTTGAATCAAACGGAAAGCCTTAAGATTAGGTTCAAAGGGAACCAATGAATAGATATATTTTCCAAAATCACAAAAAGCACATGAATTCAAGTGTTAAGGAAAAGCACTTAAAAAATAAAATCTTAAGAATTCTCTTCACACAAGTTTGACATTAAAATCAAATCCTATTATATTCTACTATTCTTCACATCACATCCACATAACAATTGTTTGTAAAGTAGGAAAAATTTCTCAACCATTTCTATTAAATTAAAATTGTTCACATAGTTTTCAACACGATTCAATACTAATTTTAATATTTTATTAGAAAATATTTATTATCATTATATGAGACATAAAATTTTTCTGTTCATAACAAAAATGCTTATTAATAGGATTGACATGTAATTGAATTTTGTTGTATAGACTGTGTTGTATAGAATTGGTAGGAAGACTCCAATGTTATATAGAGTATATAATTACAGAAACATTTAGTTTAATTGATTCTAGGTCTAATCATTAGAGTTTAGGCTCACAATATATTTCACGTAATCAATAGTCTTCAAGAAATGTAATCCTCTCTGTCGTGTCTTTAGTCCAATAATCTGATTAATGTTTAATGAAATTATTTCATGTCATAAAATTCAGTAATTAGTTTCAATTCTGCCGTTTATTATTTTTATACAGAATTATATATATATATATTCTGTGCCTTTAATATAGCATTCAGTTATCAAACACATACTGTTTGCTCACATTCTCTATACTGCCATTGAAATCATAATAATTTAGTTGCATTTCATTAATTCAATTATGAAACAAATAAAATCATAAAAAACAAATAATGAAATGAAAATTTTCCATTTATATAACAACAGAATACTGCCATATAAAATAGCAATACTTGATATGATTAGCATAAACAAACACAATTATGTCATTTCGGATGAGATTTAAACAGAGAAAATATAATATATATTATGCATTTAATTGGTTTTTATTTATTCGATGCCTTGGTGTTTTTAATTGTAAAAACTATTTATGTTAAATATTGGATTATTTGTAAATTTGTCGTTTAAAAAACAAATTTATTTCTCAAATAATGTATAGATTTGTTGAGCGTTTCATTTGATTTATATATTTATTTTTGGGTCATATATTGATATTTTGGCGGATATTTTACGCTTATATATCATATCGTTCTCGAGTTAATGGACTTTCGTATTATTGATATTTATTTTACATTTTCAATACTATATTCAAATACTGCATTTGAATCAATCAAATGATCACATTATATACAATAGCCATTCAATATACGTTAAAATGTAAATTTAAACCAAAATAAGGTTAAATGCAAAATAAATTTTTAAATAATTAAATGAGTATATTAATTATTTACCAGAAATGACATAAACTTATGAAACTATAGTTTTATGAATTATTTATCGTTCATTTCATAAAACAATAGATTATTTAAATAGGCTTCTCGTTCAAAATAATGAATACTTATTTGGAGAAATGACATTTTCATTTTCACTGTTTTCAATAGATTCTAATATTATCTTAAAAATATTAACATATCATAAAATTTGCAAACAATAACCCATTTATATAACACATCGGATCCATAGATAGAGTGGCAGTAAAATAGCGACCAATTGTGTAAACATGTTAACCGTATTAGCAGTCAAACCGCTGACATAACCCTCAATATAATCGAAACGTTTGCTCACATTATACCCATAATACTGACACTTAGGCTCGTAATCAATATCATTGGGGATGTAGTAAAGGCCCGGTTTTTGGCTGTCCTCTACCAGTTCACGGGGTGGCGAACACTCCACAAACTTGGAGTTTTCAAAGTACCCGAAATACCCGTCCTTACCGAGTGGGCCCACCTGTCGGTTCTTGTTAGCCCGCGGGTCCTCCTCGAAGTACCGACACTTGTGATAGTAAT